TGACTATCGGCTGTTAACGTTCGACAGCGTGACTTTAGGCCTAGTCCCGCTTCGTCACTGTCCCGAAGCTAATAGCCTACAGCAAACGTTGCTTGGCCAATGATGCAAAAACCTCAACAGGATAATCGCTATCAAGATTAATACTGCATGACTAACAAAGTAAAAAGACATAATGATAAACACTTGCCTGCCAACTGCAAAATATGTGCTGGTTCAACCAGCCACCCATTAGTAGGCATCTTGCCATGGCGGCACTCGACAAAATACTCCTTTTTAGAGTTTTCAAGATCGAAGTCTACAATCCAATTTACGGGGACTATACTGAGCGCATCTTTATCCTTCCCCTTTGACCAGCTCACTAGTGCAAACTTCATTTTCTCATCTCACTGCTGAGGCACACACAGACTGGACAGACTGGCGGTGGCAGTTAGAGCCCGTTTACGTTGGCTTGTCGTTCGCTCCAATTCTGCCCATCAAACCATTGCAGTTTAATGTGCCCATGGTAACAACTAGCTCAACCAATCAGAGACGTTGCTTACACCATGGTAGTGTTGTAAATAAAATCTTTTTTTTAAGGTTCTGTTGGTTAATTTAATACAACATATTAATACAAGCTCGCTTTACAAAACAGAGAGAAAATCGATAGGATATTTACCTCTAGAAATGGAGTGGGCTTTCACTGCTGCAGTCTGTTTTATGCTGTGGATGGTTCCGTTGTCCCAGAAGAAGAGAGGCATGGACGGAAGGAGAAGGAAATACACTGCCCCAGGTTCAGAATATGAGATTCCATCAAGAAAAAGGAGGTTTGTGTTTTACTCCAAACTAGCCTAGTTAAGTTACCTGATTAAACAGTTGCTCTGTGTTTAGGCTACTGTTGTAGTTTCGTGGTTTGTGTGAGTTTTGACAAGCTTGCGGCTTAGCTAAACGTAGCTAGCATGATGCAGCACACTGGCTCGCAAACTTTATTTAGCCTAAATAACAGACCGTGGGGATTTTTGCTATGATTGATGATGAGGCAATGTATTTAAAGGCGCACAGCACACAAAAAAACGAGAGAAAGAGATCAAGACAATAATCAGTATAGCCGCTCATTTTCACGTCAAGTTACACCCTACTTTGTGCAGTGGTGGTGGTGTGGTACATTAACCTCCGGATCCAAGGCCACACACCACTGCTTCCAAATAAATTTTATTTACTCATAGTGTCACATGTACATGTTATACACCTAG